GTCCATCAAACTTGAACATTGCAGTCATGTATGTTCTGAGAGATCTGTGTACTTCGTGAGAAGTGTCATTGTAGTCAACTTGTACAAGCAACCTCTGACCAAATCCGAGGAACGTATCCTTCAGAACGGACGAAATTACAATACGCGAGACGCTTCAGTACCAGAATTCTTTGCATCACTGAATACCTCAGGAATAAACTTTGAGAACCAACAGGAAATACGCCAAGTTATCACACTTCTGACCAGGTGGAAGCGAAACCGTATTCAACTAACCAGTGAAGAAAATAGAGTTATTCAGTAACTGAAGTATAGAAGAAACGTCGCTACAAATCCAGCTGACAAAGAGCACACTGTTGTTATGGATAAAGATGATTACATCAGAAAAACAGGGAAACCTACTCATGGATAGAAATGTATGTCAACCAACCGAGACAAATCCCACTAAAAGGTCTGACTCTAACATCAAGACGATGACCAAACTCGTCAAAGCGGGACAAATTAAAAAAAAAGCAATGGTGAATGAAACCCAGTGGACCTGTTCTCCGACACATTTATGTTGTAGACCGGAAAAATGCAAATCGAGGAACTCACAACGATCAATTGTTTCACTTTCGGGAATTGCAGCATAAAATCTTTCAAAAGAACTCTTCATGAAACTAAGACATCTGGTAGAATCATGTGACCATTCTGTCAACTTTTCAACACAATTATTGGAAAAGACCAATCATATTCACATTAGTAACGATGAACCGATGGTGTCTTTCGAAGTTACAGCTCTATGCACTATATGAGTAATCTAGCGGATTCTGTTTCTGTTATGCAGAAACTACAAACAACCGCACTACAAGGTGGAACTGAGTTACGTTTTGGAAGGAAAATGCAGCTAGGTGGAAGAAGAGTTGAACCACTGTCCCTATGTTCGACGCCTAAAGCATGCCATAGGTGTGGGTTAATACTGATTCCAGATAAATAAAAAGTTTCATTACGAACAAAATAAAACAATCAAAGTTATGGAATTACGCAAACTAAGTCAGGAAGTAAATATGTCTGCGTCAGTGTAGCTGATTTTCAGTCATGTCACCAACAGTCCTCAACTACTGACTCATCGTCTAAGAGACTCCAACCAGATAGTCTATACCTCCCTACATGATTCAGACCAGCAGTCACAGACTTCACCAACTGCTACCAGGTCTTGGTCTCGCCACCCTGAACCCTCTCTCAGCATAATCCAACTTCTCCCAGAATGGCACATTGAGGTATGTGGTTGCTTAACATACACAGTACATTTCTAAGCCATTTCAATTGACTAAAGTTCGTTACCTCATAAATCGACTTCCCTGTTCTGTACTCTTCTTCTGACCCCAAAACTGCTCACACGGTTATTCTACCAAACGCGAGTAATGCTATGAAAATACTTATGATCAAAACACTGAAACCACTTAATATCGCCACTTAATTCGGCCATGTCTCTTAGACACGTAACAGGACAAAACGGAGTGTAGTGTAGCATACTCGTCCTTTGATAGATAGCCGGACATCTCGCAAGCGACACTGGTGAAACAGGTTGGAAAGTGCCAAATGAGCCTTCTGTATCTGAGCTGAGATTGTGTCAGCAACGCTCACCTAGTCAGGCTGATGCAACTCCCCAAGTAAATTAAGTGGTCGACATATTCCGCTACTTCACTCCCTGTCATTAAACTGAGAGGAGTTGCAATCCCGTCCAGGAGCGTCGTCTTACTTTTGAAAAGTATGAAATGAATGACAAACGTAGACTGGTTTCTGCTCAATAGGTTCAGGATATCCTGCATTTTGTCAGCGCTAAACATTATTTACTAAATAATTCTGTAAGACAGTATGCTTAATGCAATGAACTAACCTGGTATGGAATTACACTCTACCATAGTATCCAACTTTCAAACTTACATCGATAACAGTTTTTCAAGTGAAGACATTGACAAGATGCATTCTTTTTATATTTTGGGTGACAATTTGAACATGTTTAGCATATGCTTTTCACCTGCCAGTCACAAATTGTTACTTATGGAATGGTCTACGTTTTCATCTTGTCTAACGACAGAAAGTGCAGTGGTTAAAGGTGTTTGGCACTTTCCTTTCTTGGGAAGTCCGGTTTTCCTTCATAAGCCAGTGATTTACAAAATCTCTTTATGGTTACAAAAAGCTCTGTTTGTGCCAACCCATACCATCTATGGTGCTGGTGAGATATCCGATTGCAGACTAAGTATTGAGTGTGAGGTGAGGTAGTTCACTCCTTAAAAATGATCATTAAAGCAGGAAGACATCAGGAGGCTTCATGTATTCGATGAGCGTTGGCTTTGTAGCATGAGCTGTTGAGTAGGATTTCCAGGTTAGATTACTTATTATTAGCTTTTTATTTGTCCCTTGGGTTCCTAGTGGAACACAGAGATTCAGCAGCATCTCTCCATTTCATTCTACTCTCTGCAGTCTTAAAAACCTGGCTCCTCAACTGCCAACAAGCTCTTATCTCTTCCTCACACAATCTCACCCATGTCACCCTCGTTCACACGCCCAACTCATAGTTTCCATTTTGGGTTCCACTCGATAGCCTGGCCAGACACGTGAAGTTCCCAATCGGTCCTCTCAGTGTATGTCCAATCCAGTCCATCTCCACTTTCTTCTGCATATTTATCCAGCAATGGGTTCTTGGTTGGTTCGTTGCCAGCCAGCCAACCACAGTTCCTTGTTGCTTATTCTTATTATTCTGGACATCTGATCTTCAGTATTGAGTGAGTGTGTGCGGCGACAGCTGTTGATGATGTATGTATGCAGTTTTTTGGAAATGCTTTTCGTAACGCACCACCAAGTCTCTCAACCATCACATAGAAGCACTGACTCAATTGACTGAATTGGTGTTCAAAATCTAGATGTTGTTGACGCTTTATGCTGAGTGCAGTCGATCTCCACACTGATTTCAGGTTAGTGGAGGAAGGTCTGTCTGGCTGTCTTCCCGACCCTGCCTTTGACGTCCTCATCTGTGCAGCCGCTGCCACCTATAGTTGAGAGGATGCTGCTTGGGTAGGTAAGTGAAACTGGCTACTTCCTTCAGATTCCTCTCATTGATGGTGATTGGTTCTTGTTGTTCTTGTTGTTGTTGTTGGTGGTGGTGGTGATGGTGGTGGTGGTGGTGCTGCTGCTGGTTGGATATATTCATCGCCTCTGTCTTCTCCACGTTCATCTGAAGGAAGTCCCGTCTTCCTTTGCTGCCTCACCTCTTCTGTCAACTTGTTAGTTTTCGCCTGCAGATCTTCGAGACATTGGACATAAATCAGTATCGTGGGCGAAATCTAAGTCTTCGAGGGTCTTTTCATTAGTCCAGTTAGCGCATGTCCATCATCTCACAGCTCCTCACAGTTTCTTTCATGATCAAGTCCATTCCAGTCCATCACAATCAGGAAGATGATGGGTGGTAGTAGGCAGCCTTGTCTTACTGCTTCCTGCCTTCACTTCAAATCGTCACTAAGCTTTCCATTGTGAATCACTTGACATGTAGCATCCTCATATTGCATATAATTGTTGAGGGTTTGTGGCACTCAAATCATAGTGTTGAAGCATCTGCTTGCCAGATTACTTCTGGGTAGACGCCTCAATCAAAGGCCTTTTCAAAATCGATGGAGTTGAGGTAAAGACCCAGTTGACTGCATTCTATTCTCTGTTATATGGTGGTGCGTAGTGTAGCGTTGCAATTTGATCCTCACATGATTTGTTCTTCTTGAATGCAGCCAGCCAACCAGCCTGTTCCGGTCATAATTTTGAATGGAGAGTATTTTTCAGTCTCTCCGTGATGATGTGGCTATATATTTAGCTTGGGTGGTCAGGAACATGATTCCTCGCCATTTCTTGTTCTTGCAAATACTTAGGTCACACTTTTTTGTTAGTTAGACAAGGTAGCGCTTCTTCTCATCAGTCGTCAGGTACCCTTCCTTCCTTCTTTCCAAACCCTCCGAAGGAATGATGTGAGCATGTTAGTTGTTGTCTGTGTGTCTGTTTTCAGTGGTTCTGGCGGAATTCCATTCGGTTCTGCTTCGTTCCCGGATTTCAAAAACTTTATGGTATTCAAAACTCTGGTTTTAGTTGGAGGTCTTGTGTTCACTGATAGTTCTGTGGTTGGCCTGCTGGTGGTTTTTCTGTACGAGTTGCAGGTGGTGGTCAATTTAAGAGTTTTTTGAAGTGGTCAGGCCATCGTCTTCGTTGTTTTTCCAGGTTAGAGATTCGGGTAAATTAGGTATGACAGTAGTTGTGATTAGCAACCCTCAATGAGTCGTGTAGCTAGGACATGTTCTGCACATTTCTTGTTGCAATCTATTGGGAAGCTTAGTGTTAGACTAAGTAGGTTCATGCTAGAAAAATTTTGAAGGCAGCTAGACTAGAACGTTGAGTCAGTCCATACTCTCACTGACTGTTGTTCTCAGCTACTTGAAGAAAATGCACCCCTCTCACTTGTAAGCCGCATGACAACTGAAATTTGTGGTTAGCCACAGTAGGTGATATAGTTCAGAACAGTTCTCGGTGGTTCCAACGCATGTACACGTAATTTCCTCCTTAAGCGTTATTTCACATTTTCTTCAACTTTTGATGTAACTCTTTTCCTTATCCTCTGATTTACTTTGTTGCCCTGTATCTTTATTTGTTGATGTACGGTGTGGTAAATTGGATCACTAAGAGCTAATTCCAGGTCTCAAATTGACATTTACTGTATGACGTCTGGATACAATCTTTGTTTAGAAATGGCTAACAATGAAATCCAGAATGATCATTTAGATTTCAAATTGAAGCGTTGAAAACTAAGTATAAATGTCAGTGCACTCAATTCATAAGTCCTAAACAACTTAATTCTCTTTTACTGGGCACTACTATATACCGGCGAATACTCTTCTTAGTTTTTACACTAGTCTTTTGCTGAAACCTACGAAAATATGAAACTTTTATCAATCATATTAACTAATCTTTTGTTTTTATTCCAGAGATGCAGAGATTGAAGAAATTGTAAATTATTTAGCTGATACATTGAAGGATGGCTGTCACCCAGGTGCTCCTGTGATATTTCCTCGTTGTAAGCGTGAAAGAAAAACGGTGTCTTCTAACAAAGAATCTAAAAATTGTGTAAAAGAGCAGCAAAAACCACTCGTTTGCAATAGTGAGGATAACGGACCAATAGAACCAAGTGAGTTCTCTACAATTCTTGTTTATTTCATATGAAGAGATGTGTTAAACAGCAGTTTAGGGCTGCGTTTATGAGTAGTCATTAGGAAGTCCAACACATGAGTTTTCTGTTTGCTTACCCCTATAAGCAGAGTTTATCTTGAAGTGACAGGAAAGTTAAAAATTCAGGGGGTTAATTCAACGAATAGCATTTTAGAAACTGCATGTTTGACACGGTAACCAGTCATATGTTTAGGTCAGTGTTTCTGGCCTTCGCTTGAAAACTATGAGTCAGAAGGATGTGAAACTATGGAATATGTCCACATCTTACATAACATTCAAGTATGAAGCAGTAGAGGCTGTTGAGTAGTTTAATTATGGTTGAGTATAAAGCAAAAAACGAGAAGAAAAGTGCTTTTCAGCCGTTTGCCTTGGTCATAAAACTGACTTTGAAAACATAGGCGGGTTACAATTATTCGATCAAAAAGATCCTTGGAGAGCCAATTATGCTTCATAAACCACTAACTCATCATCAGTATAACTCAGAGTAGTCTAGGATCATGAAAGTAAGTCAACGGATAAATGTTTCCTATCTTATGCATGGTCTTTCAAAGTACTATGCGGAATCTAATAGCAGTTGAAGGGGTAGTGGACTTATGAAGAAGTCATTTTGATGCAATAGAATACACTTAGTTCGTTGATTACCAATTTAATTCTTGTTGAGAACTGCAGGTTCCAGAATTGTCATCGACAATGAATTGTGTTATAGATTGGGAACTTAGATTTATTTGACCTAAAATCAATAATAGAGGTTACGATAAAGTTTCTCTCACAGTCGAATTAATCTTTTTCTCCCTGTTTCTAGTTGCTTACGTCTTTTTTGTGCATTTACTTCCCAGGCGTCCTTCCTCTACAGTGCTGAGAACTGTAATAAACTAAACCAAAATGATATTTAGGATGGTTTTTTTATCTATGCACATTTAATTGCTGTTTCTGATAGTTGGACATAACGCATAAGAATCTGTCAGCTTAAACTTAATCTTTGTTAACTGACATAATCTTTTCTCTTGAGCTGTTTCTTTGTTCGAAGTGCAGACAACTGTAGTAACTAATCCACTACATGCTTCGTTTCAGTTACGCTCGAAAAAACACTTTTCGCTCCAGAGTGTGTATGATCAATTTATTATGATAACAAAATACTCTCTGAGGCAGTATTCATCATGAACTGACATCAGCTGGAGAATCATTGAAAACCTGTGGGCACTGTACAGCTGTTTCGTTCCAACTTGGAACTTCCCGGCAGTAAGTACTCACGACCCGGCTAGAGGTCGAACTCAGGACCTCCAGGTTTCACGGTGAACGTGTTAAACATTCATGCACTGAGTTTGAGCTCTGAGGAGTCCCATACTAGGTCGAAATAGCTGTTCAATGCTTCCAGGTTTTTAATGGTTCTCTAACCGATGTCAGTCCGTGATGAACACTACCTCAAAATTAAAATCTCAATTCACCCCAAAATAAAATACTTTCTGCTTTGTGTTTCATTATACGTTTGTGCTGTTCTTCTCCAACCATTTTTCATCATTGTTTTTCCTTTACAGAAGAAGAAACTATCAATCGATCTGTACATTTAAAGCAACGTTTTGTAGAATTGCATAAGTATGCCTTTTTAGCTGGTATCTTTATCATTACTTTGTTCTATGGTAAATGGTGAACGCTGTGTGTTGTATACACCTTATTTAGAGATGTTATATTGTTATTTATTTTTGCTAAAGGATTTTGGAGAACTCACTGGCGACCAGGTATATGTTTATGTACCAGAATTTGAGCTATTCCATAAGTGTCAGATTATGATACTACTTGCCACATGACTCAGGGCAATCATTAAGGAAGCCTGTATCTAGGTTTCTTGTTTACTGAGGGTCATTGAGAAGAAATATCTAAACTTTTAAACCAATTGATAACTTCTTTGATAATGTCAATAATCAAGGATATAGGCTCAAATCTGCGTGAAGACAACACTTCTGTTGGGGTTATAGATATGCTTTGGTGAAGAGTATCAAAAAGTCCGAAACCTAGGTTCAGGGCTCCCTACCAGTTACTGTCATCTACTCAAAATTAATCCAATTAAACTTCAATAGTGGATTTGTCACCTTAGTGACAATATTGAAAAATAATCAATACACTTCGGTTATCACTTATGAATAGGCAATATAAAAATGACTTTTCTTCAGTGACAAATGAATATATGGTATTACTTGTTTAACAAGAATGAAGTGAATCTAAGTTGATTCACTTTCATTACATAGTAATTGATAGTCGCAAAATGAAACCATTGAGACAAATGTTCACGCTACTGGAAGATAGTTTTAGCTGAATTTTAGTAATACAAAGAAGTAGGGATCAATCAAAATAATATTCTTTCCCTTTGGGTTACGTAGATTTGAATGACAAACAGCTGTGAACAAGATTTCGGTCAGATCATTCTTCATATAATCAGGTGACATCATTTACCAGCGAAGCTGTAATAAAAATAGACATAAAGCTTTACTCAAATGCGTCAGGATAATTGACTGGTTGTTTACGTATGCCAAGAGGGATTTACTTTGTGGTTAAGACATAAACATGTGAATGAATTCATTGGATTAACTTGGAATTTTAATTAAACCTTTATTGAATCTTCCTTACATATTAGAATGGTAAGAGGCACTTAGAACTAAACAACAGGAAACTGGTTACTCTCTAGTAACCTGTTCGCATATTCAGTCAAAATTCTATAGGAGATCAATAACGGCTTAAACAAATGAGTGGTAACATCTTTTTGAAATACTGTGTGATGCCGGTCCAAGTTTCTCGAAAGCATTATTTCTGCTGAGATTGCAGATTTGTCTTGCCGGTGAATTCCAACAAGCGCGAAATCGAGGTCGAATAGAGATTTCTGCCGATCATCTTCAGATATACAGCATAAATACATTGAAGTAAATATAAGCTTCCCAGGGTTTTTGTCATAATTCCAAATATTATGTTTGCATCTCGAAGCTTTGTCTTACTCCTTTTTATTTCATAGTAAATATTTTCACTTATCATCAACCTGTTGCATATTCAAAGAGAAATCTTGAAATTGTACCGCCCTAAAGTGTCAACAGAGAAAGGGTCCAACTGCCTATTATTATGACTGCAAGGTGAGCTATCATTTGATCGAATGGAAAAGAGAGAATGAGCACTAAGGTATCTAGTAAAGAGCTGAAAGTTGATCTAATATCAGCAGCTGAGGTAGATTTGATATTATTGATGGCTAGTGGCTAGCAGTGAAATCCAGGATCCCTGTTTACTCCTATTGGGCTCTTGTCAACTGGATGTATTCCCCTCTCAGTGAGTGATATTGTTCTCACTAGGATTCGAACCCCACCATACAAGAAGCAGCCATCGTGAATCATTGGCCTAGTAGATAATGCTGTGACACTTGAAGAGGTTGGTTACGGACTCAAGTCTTAGTAAGAACAATATCACTCACTGAGAGGTATGTATATCCGGATGAAAAATCATAAGTAGGACGAAACGCGCATCCTAGATTACACTACTAACCACTTGCCATCATTATTATCAAACGGAAAACACCAGCAATATTTAGGCATCTTCATATGAAGAAATGCACCCATTTATTCACTAACAAGAACAAGGCATATATCTCTTCCACTTGAACAAATACCACCACCCCTCCACCGATTGTATATTTTGCATATTGACTGAGCAACTTTTTAGTGCAATTATCTGTCACTTTACTCAGTATAAATACGACTGTACAGCTTGATAATGAAGTCATTGAAAAGAAATATTTCTTCGCTGATATATGCCTTGTTCTTGTTAAAAAATCTTCATATGAGCCTATATTGTCAGTAGTGGCTAATCATTCAGGCCCAATCAACGACAGGGATTCACAAGCTGTAACATCGAAGTTGAACTAAGCACTAGTAAATCTGTGAACTGGAAGCTACTCACATGGCTTAAGTGATGAACTCAATATTATTCAAAAAAATTTCACGATATCACTAAGGAATCTCCTCTATCACTACTCTGTACATTAACGCGTTTCTTTTTTGCCTTTTCCTTTGCATTTAATCACAGAGAGTGTTTAAAAAATGTAGGTGTGAAGAAGTTACATGAAGCTTATGAAATTCTAGATCAAGATTTATGTTCAGTATCCCAAGAAGTAAGTTAAAAAGCTTAATGAGATGATGAATTCAGTAAGTGCAGGACGGAATTAAATCAATATGAAGGAAAATAATAGGAAAACATTCTATCCACTGTGAATATAATAATCCTCTGTAAACATTCGTGACGTCTTGTAAATACGTTATTCGGTTGGAGCAGTAGAATAACCTGATGGCCAATGGGTTATGTATCTTATACAGTCACCTTCATTATCCATTCCTTTCATCACTAATCTAGGATTAAACGAACTCAGTAATCTTCAGTGACTGGACATATTTTCTCACGAACGAGTATTTAAGCTAGGGTCTAGATGTGGTGCGTTATATCAGAAGATTTCTTGTGTCATTGGTTGTTACATGAAGATTGGGCGATTGCACGTACTAAGAGAGATTGTAATTTCAATGTTAAAAGTTCACGGTCTATGGTATTTATATAGCTAAGAGAATAGAGTAACAAAAGGTGAACAAAGACTGAAAAACCATTGAAGAAACTGTCACAGAAATCTATTAACTGAAGTCGCCACAAGGTACAACAACATATAAGGAGCAAGTGAAAAGAGGACTAGTGTTAAAGAAGTAGAAGAAAGTGTATTCGACGAGAACGGATAAATAGATGAATGTTGATGAACACATTCAAGAGTTCAAAAATGACAAAACGTAGATACATATGCACCAGTATGACAGATTTTCAGCCATGCCATTAAAGTCTTCAGCTATCCATTTTTAACATCTCCAGGATCCCAGTCACGTAGTCTTCACCTTCCTGCATAGGTCAATCTAACGGTCAAAAATTTCGTGAATTGTTGTGGCGACTCATAGTCTTCTTTCAATCCAATTCAAATTATAATTGCTCATCCAGGTAAAAAGTTGAAAATTTTCAGTGATATATTGACTAGACGTGTTAGGGTAAGAGGGTGAAGGAATAGCCAGGCCAGAATTTGAAACCAGTAACTGACTATAAGACTATCCGAATGCGTTAGGATGGGTGATAATAACTGGTTACTAAAAAGTTAAAAGTGAATGACTACTGAATATGAAATATTGCTGGAATAGTCTAGTAGTTAGTGTCTATATAACGATGTAAATCTTAACATTTGATGCTTAGGTAGAATGACACAAATGACTGTTCATTAGAGCTTTTTTCACTTTAAAATAGCTGAATGAACCAAAAAACGTTTTCCATGACTTGTCATGCTCTGCAATAATAAATAAAATAAATGTTTATTTCCGCTTGCGAGATTTTCATATAATAGTCAGTCGTCCAAACCAACTTCCATAACTTTCGTCCAATAAGTTACAAAGAGGATTGGTCCGAACACTTTACCATAAAGCTGGGAAACAGAGCGACGAATAAACTGAAAGATGAATTTACAGTCATTAAAAGACATGAATCGGGGAGAATGTTTATCTTGAAAAGTTCATTCGTGAGTGTAGAAGCAATTAAACTAGGGAAGAAAGAGTCGCTTATCTCAAAAGCATACAGAAGAGATCATATGCTGATTAAATCTAATCAACAATGGAAAGCAGCACTCAGAAATACATTCTGTATGGTCAAATAAATCTTATTGTATAGTGTATAGTGTTCAGGTATGCAAGTGAATGTAGACAAATGCCGACCTCATGTCACCTAGAACTACGTTTCTCATTTCACTTGTACTTCTCACAGTAAATATACCAGGAGGATAGAAAGACTAGAACCAGTTTTTTTTGAACAAATTTTTAGTAAGGTACCTCTTTCAGAAATGGATAACATCAAAAACTCATTCGCTTGACATAGGACACGACGTCTGGATTGAAAAGGCATTGAAAAGACCCAATAGTTTACTTTGGTGATAAAGTTAGAAGTGTTCTTATCCTCTCTTCCTGTTCTTCTCTCTTCAGTCTTAATAATGATTATAAATCACTGATTCTAACTCAAATCTATCTGTTTGCTATTTTGATATTAAAACTAAAATCACCGTCCCAACTTCATGCATAAAGCCCTCTAATATTTAACTGTTTTGTTCCAACCATTTTATCATTTTTACTGCCTGTTTATGGATTTTTCATTGTGAAGTATGTTAGTCTCTATTCCTTTAATTTATTAATTGACTATTTTAAACCTGTAAGCAGCTGAAGTGGACGTCTACTGCAGAAAACATTTTATGGCGCAATTAAATTTGTAAAGGGATAAAGACATGAAATATTAAGTAACTCAACAATCGGCTTCAGAAATGACTTACATGAAAGAGAATGTTAGAACCAAATATTACTCAGATCAAGTCCAAGTAATTTATTGTATTAGTGATAGTTCTTCATACATAACACTATAAGGCCAAAAAGCTTCGTCTCAGAGAGTTATTATTCAAAGTAGATGATCATGAATGGCATGGGCTACTCGATTACTTACTGTCATTACGGTTGAAAATGAATCCTACTCACTTCTCTAGTGAAATTCATGTAAAGAAACATTAACATAAATAGTAATTAAAAAAACTATTGTTAGCTGGTTAAAAACAATCAGCAGAAAGCCCTTGGTCTAGGTTTGTGCTTGTGAGCACTCGTCAGCAAGATGGATCTGCAACCTAAAAGAAAATCATGTCTTCTTTGAGATCGTAACTGGTGTCACCTAGTGTTATATTCAGCAACGTAACCGTTGAGCTATGAAACTTGGTGAAATGTTTTGTATGTGAACACAGAACGGAAGGGAAAGAAAATCATTTAAGAAAAACCACAGGTCAAGCTGCGTAAATGTATGAGCACAAAAATGAAAGAATCTCATGAATTTTAAGATTATAGGGAGTAAGGAAGCATACGCAAACCATTTAAGGGCTTATAACTCGACCATGTTATGTGAAGTATTGGATAATGTCCTCTGAGATGAACAGTTCAAGAGGAGCGTAATAAATAAGATATGTTAGGATATGTCACGATTGAAGATAAGACACGTTAAGAAGAGATTAATCCTCATCCTATGCTAGGATAACTCATAAGGACCTGATCGATGTAGTCAAAAACGTCTGCATAAATACATAGACAGTTACTTTATGTACAGAAGGCAACTAATCATTGAAAGTGTGATGAATCGATAAGGACTCAGCATAAAATGGACGCCGATACATTAGTTTCCATCATGGATTGATATCAGTTACGAAAACATTGAAAATCTGGGAGCACTGGACAGCTATTTCGTCCTAGTATGGGACTCCATGATGAATACTACTTCTAAATTAAAATCCCCACTCATCTCAAAAATACATTACTGTATAGTGCTCATTAGTGACTTGCTTCCAGATGGATGTCAGCAAGTTCTAATGAGAAGCCGTGACCTGTGGGGTCAACTAGTCGGAAGTGAAGTGGATGCTAACTGAAGGAAGACCTTGGGTGACAGTCGCTCTATGTCGTGAATTGAGAGAATTTGGAAACTGTGAACCACTGGAAACCGACCCAGTGGCTGAATGGTAAACGCGTTGGCCGTGAAACCCGAAGGTCCTGAGTTCGACCCCTAGCCAGGTCGTGGGTGCGTACTGCTGAGGAGTCGCATACTGGGACGAAACAGCTGTCCAGTGCTGCCAGATATTCAATGGTTCTCCAACTGATGTTGGCTTATGATGAATACTACTTCTAAGTTAAAAAGTCTCCATTCATCTCGAAAATACATTAGTTTCTATTTGCTTATTACCAAAAGACTTAAAGCAGGAGAAATACAATTTATTTTATCTTGAAATTAGAAACGTTTCCTTTAAAAATGATCAGTATGATTACTTTATTGTTGTTAAATCTATTTTTCAGGCATTATTGAAGAAAATACTTGGAGTAGACATTTATTCACAATACATGAATAAAATTTGGCAACTAAAATTACTTGGACAGAATGCATTCGAACAAAATCAATCCAACTAATACTGGAGCAGAAAAGTATTTACGATTATCAAAGGATACACCTTATAACAAACTGCCCCAGTGATTATGTTCTTTCTCATTTTCACGTATGCCTTATATATGGTATTTTAAATTACGACTGTAGCAATATGAAATCTTTACAATGTTTTCGTACAAAGTACTGTTTTCATTCACTTTAAAAGAAATATTTATCTCTAATTATGACCGTAATTTTTAAAAAGCTTATTTGTAAAATGTGACAACTTTTACTGTGGCGTAAAATAGGAAATAACTTCTTTATGCAGTAACGCTTCATAGGAAACATTTTTGTCTAATTTCTTTTTTCTTTTGAGGTTTTCATGATACAATATATATTAAACTATCATTTTGTAATACTATATGTAAATATAAGTAGCATGGAATTTTTTCAGACTTTGATTTTTGAAATGTTGACAAGCTAAAACTAGATAATTAAATCATTGCAGGTGTTGGTGAGACTGTCAGCCAGTAGTGAGAATGAAAAAACCCAGTGTAGAACATCTGAGGCAAATCATAGCGTGCATATGGCCGATAGGTCAATGAGTGATTACAGCATGTTTATCTGGTTAGTAAATAACAATGCTAAATGATCAGAGTGCTTTATAACTATTCAAATCAATCAGTAGTATGCAACACATTAAATCATTTATAAATGAAATTTTGAAATCCCTCAAATTTAACAAATTTGAGAGTGCTGTATCTCCTTTGTTAGGAATTTAGAGAATTCGAACTAACAGATTCTCTGACGAAAGTTATTGGTTTGTTTACTGCTAGATAATCATCAGCACCCTGTATTGATATTTTAAGTGTTTGAAGTCTAGTTTTGTTTCTTATCTGAAATTTCTTTATTTAAAGTAGCTTAGAAAAGTGATCACCTATAACTGCTGTTGAAATAAAGGTGATACATACTTCTTTAGTTCAGAAATTTAAGAATTGTGATAAAGCAATTCTTTACCTCCGCAAAATCGATGCAGTACCATAAAATATCAGAGGAACGATTCATTATATTACAGAAAAACTTGTTAGGCATTTTATGCTTGTTTCATGACTGAAGAGTCTCTCCTACTTCATTTTCAGAGAAAAATCTCATAAAATCATAAAATTAGACTTGGATGTTTCTACATGTCAACGTAAATGGTTGGTGTATGATAGTCGAACCAGAGTGAAACCTCACGCAGAACTGCTTTTGTTGCAACTTCTACCCCGTGACATGGCCGTTAAAAGTAGAAGATAAGAAGTGCTCACAGAGTTTTGATAATAGATGTCTTCGTAACATTGCTCACGTTTGATGGGATCACTGTATTAGCAATGTTGAGGTTGGGGGAAGAGTATTAGGTAGGACAGGTAAGTCAGTTGGTGAGATGACTCTGTCACGTACTGTGAATGCTACCGCACGCTTCAACGTGCCGTGCTAAGAGAATTTGGATTAGGCTGAAAGAGGGTTCAGGGTGACCAGACCATGACGTGGCATCAGTCGATAAAGTCTCCCACTGTTAATGTGAGTCGTGTGGAGAAATGCAGACTGCCTGGTTGCGGTCCCCAAGATGAAAGGAATCGATGGTTGAGCACTCTTGGGGACATGACTGGGAATCGGTCACAGTGACGCAGATGTATTCACTCCTTGGCATCTTTTAAAGCTTGAATATCTACGCTAACCTTTTTCTTCAAATTGTTTATTCACTCACACTACAGTTTCTTCCCGGATATCACTCTTTTTTATTCACTTATTCTTTGTGTGCTAACTTGAGATGATGCATTTAGTGCGAGGTTCTCCGTTGATTGTGTCAGTCAGTCACCTGGTCTAATAAAGCCAGTAGGAAGCAGTTGGATATTATATAAATTCATAATCCCAATAGTCTGTACACCTATTTTCATTAGGAGGGTGTATTGTTTACTTCAGCTCTATCAAACCCTTATTATCTGTCCGTAAGGTGTTAAAAAATCTGATTTGATAGGTGTGCGGTTGAATAATTACTTACAAAAATCATCCTTGCGCGTCATTTCATTCCCACAAAAATCTTATATCTTAACGTCAATTAAATCATACAATTACAAAATACAATTCTATCTGGCTTTCTAGATTAACAGATGAGTCATTAGTTATAGAGATGACACAATATGTTTAACTACAGAACCGACAATAGGAATGGGGCCAGAAGATGTCGTCAGCTCACAAAGACGTAGATCACTCCAAATTTAAAAATTAGCAAAATTGAGCCATAAATCATAAAAGACCCTGCTAAGTAATTTCTAATAAGCCATCGGTTTGATAAAATTTTGAGGAGGGAAAGTAATGATATGAATATATTAGTAGGAAACGCCTTGAAAATGACAAAGCAATCCATACGAAAAGAAAGAGATGAGATAAAGAAGCATCTTGAAGTAAATCATCTAAGTGAGTTATTAAACAGAAAACTATCCATCATTCAAAGTATGGTCCTTACAAGAAGATAAGTTAGAGTACAACAAGTCTGTTCTCCAGGATCGAGCATATATTCACTAGAACAGTTCTAGAGAATCTAACTAAAGAAGTTCACTGAACCTAATTTAAACGTTTTCCTTAACTCACTGGATTATTGTGACGTAGAAAAACAACAATATGCAAATACTGTAGTTTAGGGTTATAGAGAAAATGGTTCACATGGACATAATCCTTCAATTATGAACCAGGAGCCCCCACAAACTATATTCCTATGTTTTTTAGAAAGGTTGAAGTAATTGCAGTTTGTGTGGCTGTTACATTCACTTCAAACAATACCCACCTTAGTACCTGGACTAATTTAAATTCTTCCCTTGAAAACGGTATTGTATTTCTAAATGTATAATAAGCGGTTCGTTAAAGAATAACATTTCAAGTTGTAGGACAGTTTTGAAACACAGTTTTAGCTAAAAAATCTTACAAAAGTGGTGAATATGACTTCAACAAACCTGGGTAAATAACTTTCTAACGGACCAATGGGAGAACAGGATAAACGGAAAACAAAAGGTTTAAGTACCAATAGTTTGTTTAAAGCTGGGGCATAAGAATACATAAACCCTTATAAACAGCTGCTACACTTATAACCTAGTAATTACATCGCTCTAATGAAGTATTTAGAGCGAAAGAAAAACTGGTCATAGGGTATTTGAACGTTTTTAGCAGGTTAGTTAGCAGGTGAAGCCGAGATGACTTGTTACAGAGACCACCTAATCTATACATGTTACCCATCAAGTTCCTCTGAAGCTGGTCTATGAAACTGACTGTCACTTCTTAATTAGTGAGTGCAATTATCCATGCTATGACCATAACTTCCATTGGCTAAAGCTATTTTAGTTACACTTATGTTATCAAAGCCTAATCCTACTGGATACTTCGTTTTAGTTGTTGAGTTCTTCTATCGATTTGTCACAACCATAAATTTGATCTGACTCTTTGTCTTACCATTTATGCCGTTTTGTTAGTTTCAGTTTGCGAGAGAAACAGTTACAAGACTAAGGTTTTCATATAAACATTCGAAACATAAATTGAAATTTCTAACTTTTCAAGTACCTGAGCTATTAAGCGTTGTATAATATCTGCTTCTGCCTCTTCAGACGATTAAAGTATGTGTGAGATATTCTTATCAAAGTTCATTAGGTTCATTTAGGATAGGCAACAGATGCTCATGCAGTATTTCAGGTAGCAGACGGAATTATTAACTCTGATGTTCAATCATTCGCGTTTTAATACTGCAACATATTTATAAGATTCAGAATGTTATCCCATTTAGGATATCTATGCATAATGAATACGGGTTTGCAACTCACTACATGCTTTACTCAAAATACATATATTATGATGTTGAAAAGAGCTGATTTGCAAGCTGTATGTATTTCTATACCTGAATGTATCCTGACCAACAATGAACTGGATGGTTTGGAAAAACTTGGGGACTGAGTTAGCATGATTCAAAGTATAAGGCGCAATTTACTTGTACAAATCCATTGCAACAGTTCAGAACAAATTACGAAATAAACGAAAAAATAGATTAGACATTTTTAAAAAAAATTGTTCTGATTTACTACCCTGGGATTGCTGAAAAAAATACACTTTATTCCTACATCGATAATAAAGGCCATACAGAAACATTCATGAGAATCTACAAATTTCGCAGTAACTAGAATAGAGATCTTCACATAATACCTTTCATGGTGCAACTATATCAGTCGGTAAAAGCTATCTACTTTGGGAAGTATCTGCACTTTAACAATTGAAAAGATTAGAATATATCAAATATCGTAAGCGGATAAGGTTTTCGTGGATAAAGTTTGACAAAAAACTTTAGTCGATGGATTGTTATCAAAAGTAGAAGACTTTCTGATTCAAATCCACTTGTTTTAGATTTGATCATACCAATTTACTACAGAAATATGGTGAAGATTGGTCCTAAAGCCTACATCAAAATGAAATATTGAGTAGATTTACACAAGTTATGGCTCTTAGAAGCTATGTTTTTCCGTACACTTTACCAAAGTACTTGTTCACACATCTCTCTCTGTATCTCTGACTTCTTACGTGTATGTGATGCTGAAATGAAGAGAGGAATTCATACAGATAAGAAAGCAACAGTTCTGGAGGAAAACTAACATTTCCTAGAAAAAGTGATATGGCTGTTAGGTAATGACGGTGAACTTAGATGACTGTTTTACGATATACATCATCCATCGAATAAGAAACAGGTTTATAACATGGTAAACTGATTTTCTAGCACATCGACCCATGATAGTGAGGGTTTAATATTTTTTACCATAAAATAAGAACCAAGCCAACCTGCTCTAAGGCCCCTGATAACTACTGGAGTATGCTAAGGGGATCTCAGGTCACAGTTTCTGGTGTACTTTATACCAATGTATATCATAGGATGATCGATTCGCAAATGATGTGTAAACTCAAAAGTCCACAATGACATTTCTGTCTGCTGATTAGTTACTTTCCACCTGTTCTACCGCAGTGTCAAGACGGGTTCTTTTGTAAAAATCGAGCCAAGACCACAGAGTGTGACCCTTGAAACAAGAGTTATGGAATGCCGAAAAACATAGTTGATCAACTTGAGGAGTCAGAAACAAATCACATTTACCTGCAGACTTTCACTCGTCAGATCGTTTGCAGATGGTAGATTCAGCTGACCTGAACAATTTGCGTCTGTCAGCTGAATTTGTCTAAGTAGATCGCTTATGACCTCGTCACTCGGTGAGTGAAATGGTTGTTCTGCATTAAGATTACTTTGTTATGGCTACGGAAATCTACGGATCAGTGTGATTGATTTAAACTAACTCGAGTTGTTTAATATCATGTTTCAACGTATGCTTAGTTCCTACATCTCACGTAAGTCAATTAAAAGTAAGCGTTAATTTAGTACTCTTTTAAACATTGAATTCTCTGAAAACATTTATTGAACGTTGAAAAATCAACTATTTTATGCTTCTAAAAATCTGTTACAACAAGGTTTTGAAGAAGTCAGTTTATTCACTTTTAGTGAAAATAAACTGTAGATGAAATCAAAATAGTTGAAATATTTCATAAAGATTTTCAAATGAAATATCTTCACTTTTGCTACATTTTAGGGCAAAAAGTGAGTATAAAGTTTACTATACAAAATCCAATTATTTCTCAGGAAATAGTAATTCCGTGAGCCAAATGTGTTGATGCTTCAATCTCGGTTCTGCCATACTTGTCAGTGACTCAGTCTGATGAAACATTGGCTGAGAATCATTTTCATAGCTTTCGGAACTTTGCCAAAATATCCTAAAATTATATACGCTGTAAATGGTTTCTAGTCAGTAAAGCATCGGGTCTATACCCCAGAGACTGCTCTTAGGGTAATATTAATTTTTTATCAGATGGATGGAAAACAGGATGAAACTAGGTAGAAAAACTTCATCTTTCTCAGTACAGCTATACCAACATCGTATCATGTGACGAAGAATTCTGTCATTGCAACTGAAATCTATATCATAACTAAATTCTTGTTGCTTGAAGTTTTTCCGTAGTTCACTCCATATTAAAAACCAATTTCATGTGACCATCCTTGATAGAAACCTTACCATCGGTAAATGATTTGATTTACTACTTCGTATAGTTTAATACAGATGAAGATATTTTGGGGGAATAAAACACCCAATATCAAGAACGAATGTGCGAATGTATGGTGCATTCGGCTTTTCCATCTAACAATGGATCCTAGGTTTAAATCTTTCACCAACTGCTTTAATCTCAACAACCATGCAAATATCAAAGACCCTTGAGCAGTATCAAGAATGAGTATGATTACTGAAATGTGTATATGTGTGTGTGTATTGAGTCTAAAAAATTCACACTAGTGTTTTAATACCTAAACTCTTCGTCCTCATAACCTCAAATTCATAGAAATTCGATCCAAAGAATGATGATATTTACTGAATATACATATTCGTTATTTCACTTGAAGGTTATATCATAAATAATCTGGCTCACATTTCAAAGATTATTTTGATTCTTTCTTGAAATGGATATTTATCTTGATTGAATTTCTGATTAATCCACAACAAGGTTGTTTTTTTATTCGTGTAAGTTTAAACAATAACAAAATAATCCATACTCATACAGTCGTAGAGAAATAAATAGATTAACCTCTTAGTAACTCATATATATTCTTCACTTATCTCTAATCATCATCTGTGTACACCAATAACCAGTGTCACAGGAGTGTAACCATCATTATCATTACTATAGACTTATTTATATAAGAAGACGCATTTCAGGGCTACATCTATTTCCTTCAGTAAGTCAATTAAATTTCATATAAAAAGACACATCTATCATTCATCATCAACACTAAAAATACTAGTTATTAAATCATGTCAACAAAGCGTAGTGTCTACAAAAAAAACAGCCCAAATAATAAGTTAGTAGTGTATTTAGTACAAAGAGATATATTTGATGATTTACAAAATGTTGATCCAGTTGAAGGTGTTGTTACAATTGATAAGAATAGTTTGAAAAGTTCAAAAGTTTTTGCTCGTATACGTTGTGCATTTCGTTATGGTGAACAACAATTGGATGATATTTTATCAGGTGTTACATTTCGTAAAGAATTTTTCATACAAACTGTACAGATTTATCCAATACAAAAAGGTGTACACGATTCATTTGGTGAAATTCAAGTAAGCAGTTATTTTTCTTTAATTGATTTACGTAATTAAATATCCAATGTCCAGTTGAAATTGATTGGCTGTATACACTGGTTGCCAAAGTGATATCATACAGTTATGCTTTGTATTTGTTGTTAATTACTCAGTTTGTGGAGGTAAACTTTATTGTATAGTGTAGCCTATTGATAACATTGTATCCACTTATGACTTACTATTTGTTCATAAACATCCAAGACTCGGGCAATAAAATGCCTATTATATGTTGACCCAGCAGATAAATGGCAAGAATTTTTTATTCTCTAGATGACAAGCACTTAATATCTTTAAGTGAAGTACCAAATACAAGAGACAGAAATCTAACACGTAGGAAAATCAAATTTCAAAGTTATCTGATCTTTTTCTTGATGGATGTAGTTCTAGAAACCAAAGTTGATATTTGATAAACATGTGTGAATGTATCACAAGATTGATATCCTCTGAAATTCCGTATTTGATCTTCATTGTCTCAGCACAGGGGTGCATAACTTTATCAGCTGAAAACAAAAAAAAAAGAGTGAAGCATCATTGTAGTTAGTGACTTGTTAGATAGCACGTTTTTGACCAGTATTATTATCGTTTGTCCCTTATATTCCCAGAGAAACATAGAGCTTCAGTTGCAAAAAGCGATTTCATTCCATTCTCTACAGTCTTCTAAACCTGGTTCCTCAGTTGCCAACAAGCTCTTATCTCATCTTCATACAATACCAAACCGGTCCCACTCAGTGTATGTCCAATCCAGTCAATCTCCACTTTCTTCTGCATATTTATCCAGTAACAGGTTCTGAGTGGGTTCGCTCCCAGCCAGCCAGCCAGCCAACCACCCAGCCACACAACCAACCAACCAACCAACCAACCAGCCAGCCTGTGTCCGGTCGTAATTTTGAGTGGAGAGCATTTTTCAGTCTCTCCAGAATGATGCGGCATAATATTTTGCTTAGGGTGGGCAGCAGTGGGGCATGATTCCTCACCAGTTCCTGCAGAGGCTTAGGTCTCCCTTTTTGGAGTTTGACAAGGTAACCCTTCTTCCAATCAATCGTCAGGTACCTTTCATTCCTTCCTTCTTTCCAAACCTTCTGCAGTTGTGGTGTGAGCATGTCCCCTGTTGTCCCTGCATCTGTTCTCAGTGCTTCTGGGTGAATTCCATCTGGTGCTACTGCTTTCCGGTAGTTCAGCAGTTTTGTGGCATTCAGGACTTCTGCTTTTGTCGGAGTGTTTGTGTTCACAAGTAATTCTGTGGCTGGGTTGCTGGTGATATTTGTGGACGAGATGCAGGTGGTGATGGTAGTGGTGGTGGTTGATTCAAGAGTTTTGTGATGTGGTCAGCCCATCATTTCTTTTGTTCCTCCTCTTTCGTAACTAGCTGTCCTTAACTCTCTCTCTCTCTCATTGGTTTCGTCTGAGTTGATCTGTTCCCTCCTAGATAGTAAGCTGGCTATTTGATATAATGTTGTCAGGTCTCTGTTTCTCCAACGTGGAGCCCGTACTGCTTCACTTGCCAATGTGTTGTAGAAGTGTCTTTTGTCTTTGTGCGCACTCTTCTTCACCTCCTTGTCCAGTGTTCCATAGTTTGTACTCAGTTCATCTTTTCGTTGTTCATACTTGCACTTCACTCGTTCATCTTCTGCTTCACATCACTATCACAATCACCATCACCATCACCATCTTCCTCTCCCTCCTCTACCAGCTTCCATGTGTCCGTCGAGATCCATTCCTTATCTTGCTTCTTCTTCCTTCCTAACACGGTGATGCAGGTCTCTTTCCACATAGCTTTCAAAGACTTCCAGTGTTCTTCCACACAGATTTCTTCAGGGATGTTGCTCGATATCTCCCATTTTGTTCTGATGACTGAATGACGTGAAGATGTCCTTCGTAGTTTCGTCCTCCAGTTCACTTTCGTTCTGCGTGTTCAACTTGAATTGTGGTCTATCACCAACCTCCTTCAATTGAAGGCTTTCAACTTGATTTTGAAGGTGGGTTGGTTGCAGTAGATAGTGAGTGGTGTGAGCCACGTAAATCTGCTCCCCTTCTTCATCTGATATGATCTGACCTAATGTTATGTGCAGTAGACTGCGTCTACACTTTCTTCACATTCAGATGAAGTCGATCTGATTAGAAGTAGTGTAGTGTGTCTTGGTGTCTGGTGAAATGAAATCCGTTTCGCTGCCTTGTCAATATCCTTGTGTTTGTACACAGTGCCTCCAATCACCAAATCGTTGAATGCACAGAAATATATGCGAACAATTCTCCATTCTCGTTGATCACTTCACCTAGTGCTTCTCCACACATGATGAGTTCTGTTTCTGTGTTGTCCGCTCCGAGTTTGGCACTCATGTCACCCCACCGATTAGAATGTTGATGTCGCCAACTTCTTCAGTGGGGTCTTGTCGATTAGTGATTGTAGTTATCTGTAGAATTGCTTCTTCTTCTTCTTCTTCTCTTGATGTGCATTATTTGTGGTTGCATAGCGTGGGATTGAATGATTGTGAGTTTCGTTGCTTTTGAGTTGAATGTTGCTGTGATGATGCTGATCCTGTAGGGGGAGATTGGTTCCCACTGCATGAGAGAGATCCTTCGATGCTCTTCAAGGTGACATTATGATAGTCACTCGAAAACCCAGTGTGCTGATTGCTGTCGTCTGGGTGACAATATCTGAGTATATTATTGACTGTGCAGTTGATAGTTTGCAGAGTCCACTTCCATTCCATCTGCTTATCCCTTGCAAATTCCTAGCCCAACACTTCCATCTCATACATACCTTCTCATCTGATTTGCAATCTGGACAGCCTTGCCAGTCAACCAGCTTCAAACGTTGTGCACACATTCCGTGTCTCCATTCCTACTTTCGCTTTGATCGAGGGAGAGAGAGAGAGAGAGAAGACACATTTGTCAATTGGCTCCCGGAAGGCAAGCTTTCACCAACTGGTGTTATTTCGTCTCTCCGATTCCAGTGAGGAATAAGTTTGTTTATTTTGTTTGTGCTTTGAAGTTTGTTTAGCGATTGTATTGGTTTTGCGGGAAAGTGTTGGTAGCTGTATGCCCAAGGTTGCTTCTTTATGTGTGTTTATGACCATCTATTAACTAGTGAACTAGTAGCCTAATGGAGGTTGACCCCTATTAATAGTCTTGCAGTTCTTCACACTAGTAATAGTAAATAGGATCCTTCTTACCTGATTTTCATTTATTAAGGAAACGGAAAGTCTTCAAGATTTTCATTAAGCATTTCACTGCTAAATGTTTTTATGAAACTTGGATGTGGTTGGTCATTTTGTCTTATACAAAAGAGTTGGTTACGACATGCTAGTACCTTAAGATCATAAAAAACAGTTGCTGTGTTAATCTTGTGTGAAATAACTTGATTTCTGACAGTTTGTCACTAGATCATGCTACTAATGATCTTTTATCAGTTATATATTGTATGGGATCTGAACAATATATGACCTGAGTGAAATGTGTTGAATTTCCTGTCACCATACTTCCTAACAAATCAGCTGGGGTGTAGTAAACATTAACAGAGTTCGTGAACTATGACATTTATTGTGAAAAACCAGAAAAAAGTCTAGAGTTTGTGACATCAGTAAGTGGATAAATATAATGTTATTATACAGAAAATGGTTGATATAATTTGGTCAAAACTAGACAGGACAGAGCTAGACAGCATTGAGGTGGTTATTCTCCAGAGATCATCCAGTCTTACAGGAGGTCAACGAAGACCCATTATCTCAGTGATAATGTCTTTGACTGCAGCACTGATTGAAGGGAGCTATTATCTCAAGTTGACAACAACTGTCTTGAGACTGAAGACACAGCTTGCTGATGAATCTCAACCTATTTACAGGGCTTCATGCTGGTTGCCAATAATCATCTAGCCAAATGAATATGTGTTAATTACACTGAGATACATTTGTTTCATAAGAAGAACTGTTGATTGTCGTTGAAAGGACAATTCGTAAGAAGGCAAGATTTAAGCTGCCAGCAACCAGTAGGTAATAAGAATTGGTAAGAGCTAAACGTGGAAGCCAGTTAAGCTCCTTTAGTATACCATTTATTGATATTGACAACTTCTACCGTATCGTTTTTATTTCATTAAAAACGTCAGTTACTTTCTTGTAAAAACACCTAACATCTATGGTAACGGTGAACACAAGCCCTCTGACAAAAGCAGAAGTCCTGAATGCCACAAAACTGCTGAACTACCGGAAAGCAGTAGCACCAGATGGAATTCACCCAGAAGCACTGAGAACAGACGCAGGGACAGCAGAGGACATGCTCACACCACAACTGCAGAAGGTCTGGAAAGAAGGAAGGAATGAAAGGTACCTGACGATTGATTGGAAGAAGGGTTACCTTGTCAAACTCCAAAAAAGGGAGACCTAAGCCTCTGCAGGAACTGGTGAGGAATCATGCCCCACTGCTGCCCACCCTAAGCAAAATATTATGCCGCATCATTCTGGAGAGACTGAAAAATGCTCTCCACTCAAAATTACGACCGGACACAGGCTGGCTGGTTGGTTGGTTGGTTGGTTGGTTGGTTGTGTGGCTGGGTGGTTGACTGGGTGGCTGGCTTGCTGCCTTCTAGAACAACAAACCATGTGAGGATCAAATTGCAACACTACAATACTCATCATAATAGAAGAGAGTATAGAATAGCAGTCAACTCTCCACCTCAACATCATCGACTTTGGAAAGGCCTAAGATCGGGGAGTCGACCGAGAAGTAATTTGACAAGCAGCCGCTTCAACACAATGGTTTTAGTGCCACAAGCCCTTATCAGCCTCATTCAATAGCTATATGAAAACACCACATGCCAAGTGATCGACAAAGGAAAGCTTAGTGCCGCCTTTGAAGTGAAGACAGGAAGGAGTAAGACAAGACTGTCTACTATCACCCATGATCTTCCTGACTGTGAAGGACTCGACTGGACTTGACTGGATCATGGAAGAAACTGTGAGGAGGTGTGAGAAGATGGGCTTACTCTGGGTGGACCGATGAAAAGACTAGAAGATTTGGTTTTCGCCGAAGATGTTGATCGATATTAAATGTCACATTGACTCAAAGACCTGAAGGCGAAAACTAACAAGTTGACAGAAGAGGGAAAGCAGCGGAAACGGGACTTCAAGCAAAAGTGGGGAAGAGGGTGCTAATGACGACAACCAAAGGACAACAAACACCAATCACCATTGACGGGAGAAACCTCCAAGAAATAATCTCTGTCACCTTCCAACTAGGCAGCATCGTTTCAACAAGCAACAACGAACTATGGCTGACTGGCAACGAACCAACCAAGAACCCATCACCGGACAAATATGCAGAAGAAAGTGGATATGGATTGGACTAGGCATACACTGAGAAGGCTGATTTGGGACATCATGAGCCAGGCCAGGCCGTCGAATGAAATTCGAAAGGGAAACGTCTAGCTGGGCGTTCGAGGCGAGGGTGACATGGAGGAGATCGTATGAGGAAGAAATGACAGCTTGTGCTCAGTGATGGAACCAGTTTGGAAAGACTACAGAGAAAAGAGTGCAATGGAGGCGTGCTACTGAAGCTGTATGTCCCACCAGGAACTCAAGGATAAAAAATAAATGAAAAATAATAATCTTATCGCAGAAATATTTGAAGGGAAACAATTATACGAAATTTGCCGTTTTATTTAAAAATTGCGACGAATACAATGGATAACTATTTACCATTTGATGAAGTCAAACTTTTAAATAAAAAATTGACTAATGATGTACAAACACAGTGGTTGTTATGCCACATAGGTTGTAATCTTACAGTCAAGTCTGTTTCCATAGAAATTTATTCATTAGCTCTAGGTACACTTTAAGTTGTTAGCCCTCGTTTAACTTATCGGTTTGTTGCTTGCTTTTAGAAACGATTGGTTGAACGTTTCGGTGATGATGCATTACCATTTCATTTCACTTTACCGCATGATATTCCAGCCTCCATAACATTACAGCCAGAGAATACAAGTGCATTAGAAGACAGTCCGTGTGGAATTGAATATGTCCTACAGGTAAATTATTCTTTTAAATTTTATACAAGCTGATTAAAAATGCGAAATAATTGTAATTAATAATTTAACTTTTACATAAATCAGCTGTTTACTTATTCAAGTGTCAAGAATAGATAATTGATTTAGAAGCTTTGATGTATGGTTAGAACTTTTTTCATCCCAAGTTGTTTAATGGATGAATTTATGCCTTTCAATGTACTTGTCTTGGTCAATTTCTAAGTTATTTCTCGAATAGTACACGTTCGCTTTCATAGAGGCAATAATCTAGCCCTTACTGAAATCGCAGACAAGTATGTTTATGAAATTCGGCTGTATTGCCAGACTTTGAACCAAAAATAAACAAAGCATAGAATCGAGTTATTTAGCTCTTCTCATTTAGTATGAATTTTGTCCGATATTTTGTAACTGACAGGTACACTGATTTTCGTTTAACATATTGTGATTATGAAACTTATTTTAAATGCCGTCAAAAGAAAACATCAGTTATTTATGTGTCAGGAAACTGAATAATAAATAAGTGATCACAAAGTTAATTTGTCCTGAGGCTTATTTCAAGTTTATAGACCTGGGTGCTAAGATTTACTGGATATTTAACAAAAACCTCAGTATGCACAAAGAAGTAATACTGAAAATTCATCAGTTGTTGTTCATAATTTGAAAGATATTATGTAATTTCTTTTAGCTAACCTGGTTTGCCCATATGACTGACATCCAGGTGTAAAGTCATTATTCGAAGGACAGACGGTGGCTTGGATTCCACTATCTACAGGTAACCGACACATTCTAACAGGGATCTAGACTTCAGATCACTTCATCTAATGTTAGTTAAGACAGGTTTCAGTCAAATGTCTAAATGACAGAGCTAGAAAACTAACTAGCTATTGCGAGGACTTCTACAAGGAACTGAAGCACAGAAAAAAAGCATTAGTGAGGAATAATTATCGTCTACAGTTTATGAAGAAGCTCGCACAAACACATAAGCAAAATAATAACAGTAATACCAAAACGAATAATAGCGACAACACGAGTAGAAATATATTTGAAGTCTCTATTGTCCTACTTTATAGGAAAAGAACATCAAAAACTTGAAAAAGGATTCTCAACAAGGCTGAAATAAGGGTGGCAACTAAGCCTGCAAACTCACTCACAGATACTTTGTTGGCTGGATTAAGGATCCGATAGAACCAATTGAGCAAAATAATCTAATCTATCGAATTCCATGTAATGACTGAGAAGTCAAGTACGTAGTTCAAACTAGCTGATCGGGGTCAGTTAGATTACCGGAACATAGGAATTTAGCTAAATCTAGAGTGACAGACCCCAGTGGGATCAATAATGTAGAAAACATACTAGGCTGTTTCAAAGCATGAACTAACACACAACGACAAAATAAGGTAGGATAAAACAACTGTACTTAAGTCAAATATACTTAGATGGAAAGAGAGATAGACTGTTGAGTCTTTGTAAACGAATCAACACTTAACAAATGTACAATAGATGACACAACACTCATACCAGAGATATGAAAAATTTAACTGCTTCCATTATTACTATCAGTAGTAGAATTGTTACTAATAACACCCGTATCATTACTACCACTACTACTACTATTTTTCTTACGATTTCTTAGGAATTTATTTATAAATTTAGGCGGGTAATTAGTGAGACGCAAGATATTTTTGATGTGCCTAATTTCTTGTAGTAAATTTTTTGGCCTACTAGTAAGCTTTTTTGCCATATCACACAAGCATTCAACTAAGCCTACTTTAACTGAAATAGGGTGAGATGCTTAGAAGTATGAATAGCGATTCGAATGGGAAGGTTTCCTGCAGACACCGGTCTCTGAACTTCCGCGTTGTTTTCCTTTAATATTACAATCCAACATTGCGAGCTCACCTTCATCACTAAGTCACAGAAAAACTGGATTGCATTCACTACTTAATTTAAATGTGCCAAGGACCTATTGATGAGTTCCAATTTCAGTACTGTAAACGTATGATCTACATGTTGGAACGATATCTTTGGGGTAGGACTTAATGTTTGAAGGTCCGTCTGTTCCCAACCATCCTTAGGAGATACTGGTGACCATATGGCAACACCTTCAGTTTGTTTATATATTTTATTTTGAAACTTAAAAACTGTGGATGTTAGGCACAGTCTTACTCTTAACATGATTTCCTCGATCGGCACCTTGGTTCGATGCTTAAGCTCATCGTCATTCCTAAGCCAATTCTAAATTCCTCTAGAGCCATGTCGATCGGTATACTCGTGTAAAGGCTAGTTATATCAAAATCACAGTTTTTCATTGTCATCTAAATGTGTATCATCTAATCTATGCTTTAGATCATAAGAGTTAGTAAGTCGAGATTTTGAGTGATTTCTTATTGGGCACCATTGCTAAATATTCAGACAACGTTTAGGTCGGAGATTTTCTAAAATCTACTATAGGTGTGGTGGGATAACTTGGTTGATGAATCCTAGTGGTACCGTAAATTCTACTAAGATTATTGGTTTCCGGCATTAAATTAAACAATTTTGACTCATCTGGGAACAACTTCATTTGGTGTATCAGGTGCCCTGTGGATTTCCTAACCTTACTCATATTAGTATCCACTGATTTCTTAATTTCTTTATATGGTCTTCTTTCTACATGCTCACTAACCTTGCAGATGTAGTCAGATTTTTTCATTGCAACTGCTGAGTTGCCTTTATCCAATTTGGCAGTTACTATATTGTTATCACTTTGAAGGTTCCTGAGAGCTTCTCATTCTGACTTGGTTAAATTAGATTTTATTTTTTTCTATCGTTTCAGTGTTAGAGTACACTGTATCCTTATTTCATCTGCAGTTGTTTTATCCATTGAGTTTAATACTATTTCCATTTCAGAAATGTCATCATATGGTTTTAATTCATTTGCCACTACATTAAAGTTAAGGCCTTTCTCCAGCACTTTTAATTCTTTTGAGTTTAGGACTGTAGTTGGGAGACTGGCGACCCACTTTGATTTATTGATCATTGGTGATGTACTATTGTTAATTTCATTGTTTTTGACTGGGCTATGTAATTACATACAATCATACAACAGGGTGGTACAGAAGGACAGTATTGACAACTAACTTAATTGGATGGAGGAAGAGAGAGATTAATAACCGAATCTTTGTTTATTGAATCAACACCGAAAACATGCAATCGGAATGACTCTGCACCTGTCCCAGATATATGAAAATTCTACTACCCTTGTCGTGACAGCGGAGGAGAGAAAATTGGGACTATATAAACTGTCTCAAACTTGTGGAGTTACTTGGTGTGAATATGGACAATAAATTGTGTCCGAAACGTTATCCAGTAAATGTTGCTGTTTCACTGTGTGACGTTTTATTGAATAGACTAAAATGGTATAAATGAAAGTAACTGGTCATCTAAGTAGCTGTTGGGAGGGTCTTTAAAATCATTTTAGATATACTATAGATGAAAGTGAAGTATGTAGTTGAAGTGAAGTCGAGGAAATACAATGAATACAAGAAAGTGAAGTTAGTTTATAGATTCGCGAAGTCATCAGAATAGATAAAACTTTCAACAGTTTCACTTAAGAATGTCTTTTCTCATATATCCATACACTGTTTGACCACTGAATATCAGCTGAATTCATGTTGTCTAGTCCTAAGTGCTGATGAAATCCTGTCGATCATTTTCTAATATGAGCACCGGGTTAGGAAACTCAGTGTCATGGTGCACATTGGTTGATGTTAGAGCGTTTTGGACAACTGATAGGAAGCTCTTCTTGACTGAGCTTTCGTGTTATGTGGCAGTAGCCAGCAAGGCGTGTCTAACCTCTCCAGGGAACTGGTGTATTCTGAGAAGTTCAAGCCAATGTCACTGCTGAATTAACCCAGTTATTTGATAGAATAATCATATACTTTTGTAGTAAAACTATTTTACGTTGTAAGCATCTCAAAATCGTCCACGAACTAAAGTTAATTCAGATAATCCTACCCAAATGGTTGTCTTCACAGCACCACAAATTTGTGAGATACAGGTCGACAAACTGATTCGAAAAATATGGTGTAATCGGAGCTGTATGAGGCATTCAGTATTCACTGGACACTTTATCATTCCATCATGACAACTTACTAATTTATACTGAATGCAACTTTATTATTATTTCAACACAAAATATAGATTTTTGCAGGTGAAACACAGCAGTCAACAGTTGGTAAGAGAAACACTATCAGTTTAGCAATACGTCGGCTAACATTAGCTGTGCCTAATCCAGATGGTGATGTCTACACAAAAGATGTGGTTAAACCATTTCATTTTCATTCTGGTCAACTGCATATTACAGCAATATTACCAAAAGAAGTCTTTTTCCATGGGGAATCGATAAAGTTGCAGCTGTCAATTGATAATGCTTCTAGCAATGTCGTACGGCGACTACGGATACAAGTAAGTGGTGTTTCAGTAAAATCCTGGTCGTTTTCTTTCTACTGAGCTAACCAATTCCCCCTCAATGTTGAATGATTAGAAACACATTCTTAATGTGAATTATGATGCAAGAGATTCGAAAGTTCACAAATTGATTTCTAGAAAACTGCAGATATATGTGCCAGTTTCTAAGCGCTTATAGAAGTCTATCTGTTGGTCGAGTGTAGAATTGGTCCATAAGATTACATAAGTTGCGATGTTGGTGTTTGGTTTTAGATAACTGGAGTCAGTTTGTAGGAAGCACAGAATCCACAACTTATGATTGCTTATATTCGTAATCTTGAGTCGTCTATTGCTCTATGTAAGTTCATGCTCCATGTACTAATCGTTATAAACGTGAAAAATATTATGACTAAGTCAGATGACTTCACAAGAGTGCAGATAATGACTTTGCGGTAAATAGCTTGCATTACAAAATTTAGATATCTAGCTTCCTGCTGACTAACTACAAATAGGTGATATCTTTTTAGTGTCAGATATTATGCATAGTGTTTGATAGGATGAAGTTAGTGTCCAGATATCGTCTCTGGAGAATCAAAATTAGTGTATATTATTTGCGTTAATGAGGTGTAAGTATAAACTATAACAAATAATAACTCCATTAGACAATCATACCTATTCTTCTCTACCAACTAAATATCAACTGTGTGCATACTCAGAGGTATAAGTTAAATAGGTTTTCACGAAATTAATCTCAGTAACTAAATCTCTTTACGTTATGCCAATTCCTCTTGGAGAGTGAGTTATTATCGAACTGTTGACTAGTTGCTTACTATTCAGTTGACTGAAAAGTCTATTTACGCATACGAGAAGGTGGATCAGCATCTAATGTTATTGCAATGCCTGTCACTCAATAAAAATATTATGAAATAAGCACTACTAGGAGATATAGTGATGAATACTGATTACTCTACAGTTTTTGACTATCTTGTGGTTCTATAATCTAATAATTTTATTGTCACAAAGCTCATTAGTTGGATGACGCTATCCATAAGCTTCTTAAATTGACAGCATGACTTAAACATTCTTTCGATACAGTACAATTTATTTTATGTGTCTGCTCATGACCAAGTGCTAACCTGACTTTAATTGTCGAACAGTTCTCCAGGATGTCATACGAAGTGTGTGAAATGTAACTGTTCGCTCAACGTTCGATTCGATCTTTGTAACCTCAATGACGTAGTAATTTGTGAGGCAGTCTTTTAGTCTACGTTACTGATATGGACAACCTCACCTGGTTAACTAGTTCACTAGTTAATAGCTGGTCATAAACCCACATAAAGAAGCAACCTTGGGCATACAGCTACCAACACTTTCCCGCAAAACCAATACAATCGCTAAACAAACTTCAAAGCACAAACAAAATAAACAAACTTATTCCTCACTGGAATCGGAGAGACGAAATAACACCAGTTGGTGAAAGCTTGCCTTCCGGGAGCCAATTGACAAATGTGTCTTCTCTCTCTTTCTCTCCCGCTCTCCCTCTCTCTCGATCAAAGCGAAAGTAGGAATGGAGACACGGAATGTGTGCACAACGTTTGAAGCTGGTTGGCTGGCAAGGCTGTCCAGATTGCAAATCAGATGAGAAGGTATGTATGAGATGGAAGTGTTGGGCTAGGAATGTGCAAGGGATAAGCAGATGGAATGGAAGTGGACTCTGCAAACTATCAACTGCACAGTCAATAATATGCTCAGATATTGTCACCCAGACGACAGCAATGAGCACATTGAGTTTCGGTGTGAATGTCATGATGCTTTGCAGAGCATTGAAGGCTCTCATGGAATATGAACTAAACTCCTCCTGAAACAGTTTTTCGCCACTAAACCTGACCAACCTCTTAAGTGGTATACTAAATTAGTATAAGTGATAACTAATCAAACTTCTAATACACTTATAAATCACTTTAGTTTGAGATAGAGTTACTTAGAAAAATTCAATTGTCGAATAAAAAACAGCGTCAAAGTTGAGACAGGCTGAAGTACTGAATCACATTAGTTTAAACCACTAAAGTAGCACAAGTTTCCTCAACAGTGAAGATATACTTTACTGATAAGTGCCAAAAACCATACTAAGCTTCCTGATGTTTGTCTGCCTCTATAGAATTAAGGTTGTTACAATAGTGTAGCTATTTTTTGACCAGAATGCGCTATTCAGTGCGGTCAGTGGAGAAATCCATAGTAGTCTTTCAATGAAACGGTGCCAAGTACATGACCCTGCTGAAGAATGTGTATCCGAACATCAATGAAAGTGTTAGTTCCTATGGTTAGGTATCAGGTGAGCTGTGTATATTATACGATGGACACCAAGGTTATCCACCCCCTCCATTCTTAGTTAATTCTGTAATAAATTTACTTACGGAGGTGTCAGTCTTGTCCTCTGACTCTATAAGGATTGACCATGTCATAGGACACTCCTTAATATACCTACAGCATGAGGGTGTCACAGAACTATTAGATGATGTTGAAAAGGTGCGGAGTCTTCTGGGCACCTTAATTAGCAGTCGCATGATGTTTTGGGTGCCTTTCTCACCACCTAAATCCAAATTGTTCTTCATGACTAGTTTTCATTGGCCTTGCCTTCAGCAATAGAGAGTGATGTGGTTGAGCGCGCTGACCACTTCACTGGCCTGAGAATTCAGATCAGATATGATGGCTCATTGGTTGACAGCCTTTATGCTTACACATATGGGTCACCTGTATTTTGCCAACTTGCGCCATTTAAGGCACTAGTGGGACATCCACTTGCCTGAGTGTACTGCGTAACAACTCTCTCTCTTTTGTTACAAGGCTGAAAAATATGAACAGCGAAGATGTAGGACAACAGAAGGCTTCAACTGTTGCCTTCGTAGCAAACGCTTTTTACCGTATTACTATATGTTAATGAGTCAAAAGTCAGTCGTGACGCTTTGAGCAAAAGATGTAAATTGGTTGATGCAGTTTTGCACCTTCATCGACTTAGATGTTTAAAACATGTGTTACGCATGCCGAGACAGCCTCTGTCCAGTTATTCAGTGGTTGTTGAAGTAGATTTAGGCCGTAGGAATCTTTTTCAGATTTAGGAAATTCACAGTCAAAACAATTACTGTTTAGAAACTTTTTCATTAAGTGTTAATTATATCGTCTTTCTTGACTACTCTGTTCTTAGTACAACAGTACGTTTTTAGAAATAAAAGCACGTTACTGTTCTGCTCCTGGTGGGTTACATGTACTTGATCATCGTCTACCGCGTCAGCCAATGTTGGGTAACGTAAGTCCAGGCCGGAAAAATGTCGGAAGCGGCTGGAACAAAATGTGACATCAGTGAATGAAGTCTCTGACAATTGCTCTGGGTAGTATTGGAAAATGAAGACTTCGCGGCTGGTTTTCGCAGAAAACCATTGACGGTAGTCTGAGACTAGGCGGTATAATTTGAACCAACCTCAGTAGCACAGATGTACACACAGCTTATCACCATCTTAGTAGTCATGCCGAATTTCATTATTGCTTATTTAGTTCTTGCTTTTTTTACCGACTTTCTATCACTTCAAGTTACTCTACTCCTTACTTCGTCATTCTTTATTTAAATGCTTACCACTACGATATTCTGACATGAAGTGTAGCAGTCTGAAGCCATACGCTGCAGTGTTCAATCCCTAGCTAATGTTACCAGGTTGTCTGAATTTATAAGCAGTTTGGTCAAGACGTTGTGAAATTTAACTATTGGATACATTCAGCATCGAAGATTTAACAACATGTATCTATTCAGTTAGTTTACATATATTCCACTAATTTCATCTATTTCTTTAAATATTTAATTACGAATGATCTGTTTCTTAGTATGTACATAAAACCAGTTGACTAGAATGCTGGATAACGGTTGTGTCTCAAAAATAAGAAATAGGACGGATTTTAAAAACATGCGATTGGTTTTTTTTATCGAAACTCGATAGTAATGTAGTTTTGATTGCTACAAAATTTACCAAACGACCTCAGGTTACAGAATACTGCTGACCTGGCGGAATAAATATGAAGATACTCTAATCGATCACAGTTACGCAGGAATGAATTCGTGAAAGTAGTATCTAGTCAAAAACATACAGTTAAAAGTATTTGAGGAGCTTGCAGTATGACTTCAACGTAGCAGTTAAGAGCATTGGCCAAATAAACATTCAGAAAAGTTATTGTATTTTTTTTAATTTGCAGGACATAGTTAATTAGTTTGTTTCAACAAACGTGATCACTTTTATTTTTATGTACCATTCAGGTTATACAAACTGTTGAAATCACACTATTCAAACAGCGTACCACACGTTGTACTATTATAGACATGGAAACAGAAAAAGGATTTCCAATCGAATCACAAACTACAGGATGGACTGAAACTTATCTTTTACGACCGTCACTACAAGAAACTCGACCACAAGCTGGTCTTGCACTGGACGGTAAATTGAAGCACCAAGATACAAATCTTGCCAGTTCAACATTAATTAAAGATTACAGAAAAAAGGAGGGTATGGGAATCGTTGTTCAGTATGCGGTATGTAATTCAATAGTCATTTTTCTTAACAGCTAGACACATTATGGTATGATTATTATTTGTCAGATGAGTTCCTAATGGAACAAAGGGCTTCAGTAGCACGCCTCCATTAAACTCTGTTCTCTGCAGTCTTCTCAACCTGGCTCCTCCACTGCTAAGAATCTTTCATCTCCTCCTTGTCATTCTTGCCTCAGACGCCCGACTCGCAGTATCCCATCGGGAGTCACTCGAGCGCCTGGTGCGTGATGTCAACGAATGGTCTTCTCAGTTCATACCCAATCCATTTCCACTTCCTTCTGCGTATTTGTTCAGCGATATCTTCTTGGTTGGTTAGTTGCCAGCCAGCCAGACTTCCTTGTTGCTTACTCTTATTATTCTGGCCATCTGAGCTTCAGTAACAAGAGAGCGTAGGCAGTTGTTGATGAATATTTGTAGTTTGTTGGAAGTGCTTTTCGTAATGCACCAAGTTTCTGAACCATATAGAAGCACTGACTTGAATGACTTAGTGTTGAAAATCCGGATGTTGTTCACGCTTTATGCTGAGTGTAGAAGATCTCCACACTGGTTTCAGGCTAATGAACGCCTGTCTTGCTTTCCGATCCTAGCTTTGATGTCCTCATCTGTGCCACCACCTATAGTTGAAACGATGCTGCCTACATAGGTGAAAGAAGCTTTTTCCTTTTAGTTTCTCCCGTTACTCTTGATCGATGCCTCTTGTTGCTGATGCAGTTGCTGCTTGCACATGTTCATCACCTCTATCTTCTCTGTATTCACCTGAAGTCCCATTTTCACCGCCCCGCCACTTCTGTTAACTTGTTAATTCTCACCTGTCGATCTTCGAGATTGTGTGACTTCAGACACAAGTCATCAGCAAAATACAAATACTCCAGGATTTGTTCCAATTCCAGCGTCTCCTTCATACTCGCTTCTCACTGTATGTCGCATGATCCAGTCCTCCACAGTCAGGAAGATCATGGGTGATAGTAGACAGCCTTGTCTTACTCCTTCCTGTCTTCACTTCAAAGGCGGCACTAAGCTTTCCTTTGTGGATCACTTGGCATGTGGTGTTTTCATTTGGCTATTGAATGAGGTTGATAACGGCTTGTGGCACTAAAACCATTGTGTTGAAGCAACTACTTGTCAAACTACTTCTCGGTCGACTCGTCGATCGTAGGCCTTTTCAAAATCGATGATGTTGAGGTGGAGAGTTGACTTCTATTCTATACTCTGTTCTATGAAGTTGCGTAGTGTAGCGTTGCAATTTGATCCTCACATGGTTTGTTCTTCCAGAAGGCAGCAAGCCAGCCACCCAGCCAGCCAGCCAAACAACCAACCAGCCAGCCAGCCTGTGTCCGGTCGTAATTTTGAGTGGAGAGCATTTCTAAGTCTCTCCAGAATGATGCGGCATAATATTTTGCTTGGGGTGGGCAGCAGTGGGGCATGATTCCTCACCAGTTCCTGCAGAGGATTAGGTCCCCCTTTTTGCGAGTTTGACAAGGTAACCCTTCTTCCAATCAATCGTCAGGTACTTTTCCCTCCTTCCTTCTTTCCTTCTTTCCAAAACCTCTGCAGTTGTGGTGTGAGCATGTCATCTGTTGTCCCTGCATCTGTTCTCAGTGCTTCTGGGTGAATTCCATCTGGTGCTACTGCTTTCCGACAGTTCAGTAGTTTTATGGCATTCAGGACTTCTGGTATTGTCGGAGTGCTTGTGTTCACTGGTAATTCTGTTGCTGGGTTGCTGGTGATATTTGTGGACGAGATGCAGGTGGTGATGGTGGTGGTGGTGGTTGATTCAAGAGTTTAGTGAAGTGGTCAGCCCATCATCCTCTTTGTTCCTCCTCCTTCGTAACCAGCTGTCCTTAACTCTCTCTCTCTCATTGGTTTCGTCTGAGTTGATCTCTTGCCTCCGAGATAGTAAGCTGGTTATTTGATATAATGTTGTCAGGTCTCTGTCTCTCCAACGTGGAGCCCGTTCTGCTTCACTTGCCAATGTGTCGTAGAAGTGTCTTTTGTCTTTGTGAGCACTCTTCTTCACCTCCTTGTCCAGTGTTCCATAGTTTGTACTCAGTTCGTCTTTTCGTTGTTCATACTTGCACTTCACTCGTTCATCTTCTGCTTCACCATCACCATCTTCCTCTCCCTCCTCTCTCTATCAGCTTCCGTGTGTCCGTCGAGATCCATTCCTTATCATGCTTCTTTTTCCTTCCTAACACAGTGATGCAGGTTTCTTCCCACATAGCTTTCGAAGGGATATTGCTCGTATCTCCCAATTTGTTCTGATGACTGACTGACTTGAAGATGTCGTTCGTAGTTTCATCCTTCAGTTGACTTTCCGTTCTGCGTGTTCAACTTGAATTGTGGTCTATCATCAACTTCCTTCAATTGAAGGCTTTCAACTTGATTTTGAAGGTGGGTTGGTTGCAGTAGATAGTGAGTGGTGTGAACCACGTAAATCTGCTCCCCTTCTTCATCTGATATGATCTGACCTAATGTTGTGTGCAGTAGACTGCGTCTACACTTTCTTCACATTCAGATGAAGTCGATCTGATTAGAAGTAGTGTAGTGTGTCTTGGTGTCTGGTGAAATGAAATTCGTTTCGCTGCCTTGTCAATATCCTTGTGTTTGTACACAGTGCCTCCAATCACCAAATCGTTGAATGCACAGAAATATATGCGAACAATTCTCCATTCTCGTTGATCACTTCACCTAGTGCTTCTCCACACATGATGAGTTCTGTTTCTGTGTTGTCCGCTCCGAGTTTGGCACTCATGTCACACCACCGATTAGAATGTTGATGTCGTCAACTTCTTCAGTGGGGTCTTGTCGATTAGTGATTGTAGTTATCTGTAGAATTGCTTCTTCTTCTTCTTCTTCTCTTGATGTGCATTATTTGTGGTTGCATAGCGTGGGATTGAATGATTGTGAGTTTCGTTCCTCCTGAGTTGAATGTTGCTGTGATGATGCTGATCCTGTAGGGGGAGATTGGTTCCCACTGCATGAGAGAGATCCTTCGATGCTCTTCAAGGTGACATTATGATAGTCACTGGAAAACTCAGTGTGTTGATTGCTGTTGTCTGGATGACAATATCTGAGTATATTATTGACTGTGCAGTTGATAGTTTGCAGAGTCCACTTCCATTCCATCTGCAGATTGCCAGCACTTCTATGCCGTATCTTCTCATTAGAATGCAAGCTGGGCAGCCTCGGTAGGTTCATACATGGTGTGGACATCGCATATCCCCATTCCTACTTTCTTTTCGATCGAGAGAGTGAGGGAGGGAGTGAGAGAGAGAGAAGACACATTGGTCAATTGGTTTCCGGAAGGCAAGCTTTCACCAACTGGTGTTATTTCGTCTCTCCGATTCCAGTGAGGAATAAGTTTGTTTATTTTGTTTGTGCTTTGAAGTTTGTTTAGCGATTGTATTGGTTTTGCGGGATATTGTTGGTAGCTGTATGTCCAAGGTTGCTTCTTTATTTGGGTTTATGACTAGCTATTAACTAGTGAACTAGTTGACCAGTAGAGGTTAGCTGGACATATAGTACAAACTTATATGTTTATGGGACTTTATTTTTGATTATGTTGGCATTGATTTCAACATATTTGATGATTGTGGTCAGTTGCAATCTGGATAGTGCAGTGTTATCGTCCTAGTTATTTGTGTTCCTCTTAGCGGCTTTGAGAACACAATCCAACCAATATCATCCTTCGAAGCTACAAATATTCTCCACAAGTGGTATAGTCTTTCACTGCAGGTTTGGTGACAGATTCGGAACTCTCAGGGGACATCAATTTCTTACAGGTCTCAGATGCGCCTACCTGACAAATAATAAGAAATCCGAAACTGAGATCTAAAGCCACCCACCATTTATCTCCCACAAACTAACATAAGTAATACTTTAGTTTTCATGTTTGTTGTGTTTATTTATTGGTTTCAGGTTGGTATTCATTATACACTGACATAAGGTAGAGAAAAATTGGAAACCTCGGAGCAACAGCCGCGGCACCCGAAGTTTCTCGGTTTGACTCCTTGTAGGGTCATGGGTGTGCGCTGCTGAGGTATCCCATACGAAACAGCTATCCGGTGCTCCCAAGTTTCCGATGTTTCTCAGCTGATGCTAGTTCATAATGAGTACCAAACTAAAGAAGGTAATATTTGTTTAAATCCACAGTGTAACAAACACAATATATATGGCTGTCAAATATCGTTTTCAAACTCCGCATGCATCATCTGGTTGCAATGGTACACTACACTTGGGAGGACTAATTTAACGTAAAGACTTAAGATGGTTAAGGTAAAAACTTAAATCAAATTCTACATACAAAATACAAACGCCGAAGACTATCTGGTGGTAATGACATTTCAAAAATCTTATACAAGCGAAAGAAGGCTCCATATGACTGAACTCATTTACTCACAAACACTTATTAACAAGATGCATTACAAACCCCAAAAATAGTCATACTGCCTTAAATATATGAAGTGATATTACTCTGTCAACGGTCAACGATTATTCAACACTTTATAAAGATTCAATTCGTGGGTTTTGGGAATCTATTGATAATGACCTTTCATGTTGAATTACTTAGTACAGTATTAACGTTGCAAACTTTATATATAAAATAAAAGCAGTTTTGAGGAACGAATAACATGAAATTGATTACTCTTCAGTAGTCAACTAGCACATTGTAAAGGAGTTTGTTCATGATTCATTTTGCTATCAAATTCTCTCATATCTCATAAAGATTGGTGTAGAAATGCTTATGTCAATATGAAATAGAGATATTTTATTGCTTGGGATGGTTGGCTAAACTTTATGAGACTGGTTTTGATGTCATGGAGTGACAATTAAAGTTGAAAAGGAATTCAAGTCTAAATATATTTTGAACTAAGAACAGATACGTTAGAATCCCACTAGAATTTAGCTGCCCTTCTATATAAGAGACAGTTGGCTTTGATGAGTTATTGCGAATTCTGAAACATACATCCTAAGATTTATTTCGATATGTTCAATTACAGTACTGCTTACAGAGCTACTACTATGTATAACCATATAAAACAATATTTTTGACCCCTTTTCGATACAAATTGCACTGTGGGACCTATATATCAGTTTCACAATAGCAAATAAACAGTTAAACCTACATAAAGGTAATCAGATGATATACTTTTTACCTTAATTTGCTAGAAATAATTGAATGGTAGGATAATAATAATCTCTATATTGATGCATAGAAAGCATATAAAGCAGTGATAAGTCTTACTTTCCTCCTGGCAACTTCCTCTTCTGACGGAAACTTTTACTAGGTTTACAAAAGTTGGGTGGTTGCTTTATCAATTAAGTTCAGCTCATTATATTATTACATAATTTATCTGTTACTTATCATCAGCTAACTTAGAAGTCAATTTTCTTACATAATCCCTTATTACTATTCATATTGCTTTTTTGAACTCTTAGTTGAATCATACATATAACTGAAACTTCTTGGTATATCTTGTTAACTCTATCCGGACGTTTATATTCTTGATCGCACCATTTCTAACCCGTTAGCTAACTTCAATTAACCTCAAAACTGTGAGTTGCATAAAAAGCGCTTTCATGAGCATTACCCTACGAACTTATAAAAAGTCAGTATTGGATTTATTATTATTATTATTATTATTATTTATATTATTAGTCCCTTGGGTTCCTAGTGGAACATAGGGCTTCAGTAGCACGCCTCCAGTGACCTCTGTTCTCTGAGATCTTTTGAACCTGGTCCCACGACAGCCCAGAAGCTCTCATTTCCTCCTCGCACGACCTCCTCCATGTCACCCTCGGACGTCCAACTCGTCGCTTCCCATGGGGATTCCACTCGAGGGCCTGACGCGTGATGTCCTCCGTCGGCCTTCTCAGTACCTCTAATAAATCCAATAGAATAATCTTCTATTGGATTTATTAGAGGTACTATAATTGAACATGTCGTTAACATGAAGTCATTCTATGTCGAAAAATAATTCATTCGAATTACTTTTTTTTCCCTTCATTAATAAACTGTTCTGTATCCTATAACTATAAAGAAATATTATCTTTATTCAGTTAAGAATCAAAGCTGTGACTGGTTTCGGTGGTAGAGATGTTCAACTGGAAATTCCATTCATTCTTTGCCATTCACGTAAAGAACAGGAGGTGATCAAAGCTGAAGCACCAAGCGATTTAGTCATTGAAAAGTTTAAACGACCCAAAATGAAACAACATCAAGTATCTGAAGATATGGAAACACAGTAAATCAAATTAAACAACATTTCTTTGGTGTTATTTTGAAGATGCTTTAGTTAAATAAAGTACTGAACTTTGCCGTTTAAAAAATACAACATAAAGTATGCATTACTGTTTACTGTAAGGGTATTTTAGCAAAAATTACATTTCTCTATTATCATTGACTACTAACGAATAGATGCAATAGTTTGTCATGAAATTCTTTCGCATTTTTCTTAGTATTTAAATTTAACATAAATATTCTGATATTTTTATGGCTACGTTTTTAGTAATCTTGGTCAACTAAAAACAGTCTTTACTAAAAAGTAGTATCAGTCACATAGTCACCAAAATGTTTCATGTAAAGCTGTTTAGTCGGTATTCGAGAAATGTCAACGATCTGAAGAATAATCATTGTTGCATGATCTAAACCAAGTCATTTATGGTTCGCTTCAAGTTGCATTGAAATACAGCTATGAACATTTTTTTCAGTTGCAGGTAGTCTTTGAAAATAGTCAGCCTGATTTGCATTATAATCTTAATGGAAGTTATTTCAACAAATTTAATTATTTTGCAGATAAAGATGATTTTTCATTTTCCAGTGGACTGATACTTTGGAAGTAGGACAGATTTATCTACCTTTTTTAAAGTTAAATACATTAGGGTTCAGAAATCACATTACCATGGAAGTTGTAGAGTAACAATAGATTCCCTATAAACAATTAGATCTCTTCCCTGGTACTTAACTGCAACGGCTTCAGTAATGTGGAGATTTGAAATATTCTATTTGCTGATTATTTTGGAACAAATCCAAAGCATTTATATTATTTCCTGTATTTACTAAGTGCTGATTAACTAAACTATTGAGACTGCTTGTTAGCATTAATTTTTGACCCTTTGATATATATTTAAAATATCTTAGTTCAACTCATTTTTCTTTAAGCCCAAATTAATTGCTCCAGTTGATACATATTCATTACAGGTAAAATATAAGGGGGACCAGTTCAAACGTCAAACTTCATGTTGTAGATTTGGTGAATGATAGTTCCTTGAGTTCTATGCCTTTCTTGTTGAAATCCGTCCTTGGTTTGGGATGGTCACAGCCGTCTTCCAGGTTCCGGGAAAGCTGAAATGAAAGAGATAATCGACTTTTAGGTCATCTTCTCTCCACAGATAGCGTTACTCACCTTGATCTGTAGGTGACGAAAAGCTTATCAAGACTCTTAATATGCATCTAATCTTCTTTCAGAGTATCAAATGAGGGGCTGTAAAAACTTATGAACTAAGGAACTTCCACAGTTTACATACCCCAACTGCAAACCAATTAGCATGGATCTTATTACGTGCTATCTCATGCTTTACTCTTAACGGTGATATTTCTGATTAAAGCTTAAGAGGCATCGTTTAGAATGAAGGAGATTATGGGTGGTGTGATACATCATGATCATATTCCTCCTGACCCTCCGGAATTGTACCGGTTGCAGCTTAAGAGCAACTCAGTGATCTAGGTAAGGTTTGTACCGTAACCCAATCACTTTTTTGTGGCTATTCTCTGAACCCGTTCTAGGATAACTATGTCCTTCAAGTATGGGGACATAACAAGCGATTTTTTTCAAGATGAGTACGAATATAAACGCCATACACTGCGGTAAAAAGGGTTGGAGTTAGACTCTCTAAAGTTCGCAAAAACCCATAGGCTTTATTGACTGCAACTTGACAATGGACCAAAGCTCCGAGTCTGTTAGTTAAAGTAGCTTCCAGATATTTTTCATTATTTCGATTACAGGTATTCCTTTTAGCCAGTGAATAAGAACTGGAAATATATCTATATTTGGCAAAAATCATTACCTTGCACTTTGTCGCGTTGAGGGGGAGCATATTTTCAGTAATTCAACTTAATATTTTAAAAAGTTTCTCCTGGAGGACTGAAATACCCATTAGCTCCTGTATTTCGCTCCGTATCTTCAGATTATTGGAATATAATGATGGGTGAGATTTGAGGGATCTTGGTAGGGTTGTACCAAAAAGCTAGATGTTTGAAGCGGACAAACTAGCTTTACAGTATGATATTTTCCCCCGAGTGCGACGGTTACGTTTTTGCTTATTATCATCAAAAAATCATCACACTTAAAGAGGGAGTAAATGAACACTGACCACTTACTAACCATTATTTTAGCAATTCACTAATAATGAAGAAGCTTGAAGACATTTATTGAGCTGCAAATAATTCCTCTTCAAGCTTAACCTCTGCAAATATTTCTTGGCACGACAGAAAAAAGTCTTAACCAATATACGTTTACTGAAACTCCATTAGTTTGGGTAGAGGTCCTTTAGCATCTCTGTGCCATAAATTATCATTGAATTAAGTTGTCTGTTTAACTCCTAATACCGAAATCTAGTAACGTGATTTCACCATTATCTACTGACTCCATCGTGAGATTATTACTCATATACATATATCAGAAATAACGAGACACAATATACCTGTTAACCACGTCAGGTTAACTAGTTCACTAGTTAATAGCTGGTCATGAACCCACATAAAGAAGCAACCTTGGGCATACAGCTACCAACAATATCCTCCAAAACCAATACAATCGCTAAACAAACTTCAAAGCACAAACAAAATAAACAAACTTATTCCTCACTGGAATCGGAGAGACGAAATAACACCAGTTGGTGAAAGCTTGCCTTCCGGAAACCAATTGACCAATGTGTCTTCTCTCTCTCTCTCTCTCCCTCTCCCGATCAAAGCGAAAGTAGGAATGGAGACACGGAATGTGTGCACAACGTTTGAAGCTGGTTGGCTGGCAAGGCTGTCCAGATTGCAAATCAGATGAGAAGGTATGTATGAGATGGAAGTGTTAGGCTAGGAATGTGCAAGGGATAAGCATATGGAATGGAAGTGGACTCTGCAAACTATCAACTGCACAGTCAATAATATACTCAGATATTGTCACCCAGACGACAGCAATCAGCACACTGGGTTTTCCAGTGACTATCATAATGTCACCTTGAAGAGCATCGAAGGATCTCTCTCATGCAGTGGGAACCAATCTCCCCCTACAGGATCAGCATCATCACAGCAACATTCAACTCAGGAGGAACGAAACTCACAATCATTCAATCCCACGCTATGCAACCACAAATAATGCACATCAAGAGAAGAAGAAGAAGAAGAAGAAGAAGGAGCAATTCTACAGATAACTACAATCACTAATCGACAAGACCCCACTGAAGAAGTTGGCGACATCAACATTCTAATCGGTGGTGTGACATGAGTGCCAAACTCGGAGCGGACAACACAGAAACAGAACTCATCATGTGTGGAGAATCACTAGGTGAAGTGATCAACGAGAATGGAGAATTGTTCGCATATATTTCTGTGCATTCAACGATTTGGTGATTGGAGGCACTGTGTACAAACACAAGGATATTGACAAGGCAGCGAAACGAATTTCATTTCACCAGACACCAAGACACACTACACTACTTCTAATCAGATCGACTTCATCTCAATGTGAAGTCTACTGCACACAACATTAGGTCAGATCATATCAGATGAAGAAGGGGAGCAGATGTAGGTGGTTCACACCACTCACTATCTAGTGCAATGAACCCACCTTCGAAATCAAGTTGAAAGCCTTCAATTGAAGGAGGTTGGTGATAGACCACAATTCTCAGACTGCAGAGAACAGAGTTTAATGGAGGCGTGCTACTGAAGTCCTTTGTTCCACTAGGAACCCGGGGAAATATAGTAATAATAATTTAATATGACGTTTATCATGAAGATGGTGTGTAGATGCATTGACGCTACTCAGATCGGTTCTGAACCATAACACGTATTTCGAAACCACTCTTTTTGACTGTTATGCCTATCGCATCCTAGTAATCCACATTACCTTACATGACTGAGACCAGCCGTCAGTGGATTTATTGTCTAATGCAACGTTTTACTAAGACAACTTCCAACCCTCCAGCTTAAACGTAATTTAGCTAACATCACACGACGCCTAATATTATCTATATGTTGGTCACTCATGAAACTTAGAAAAATGGTTGAATTCTATCGGAAATCAGATTTTTTAGATGTCTTCGAAGGATACATTTCAAATTATTGAACAATTAAATATTATCATTTTCTATGATAAGACTATGTATTGTTATATACAAAAATCTGCTACTGACTATTGATCATTTCAATTCGATACTAGGCACGCTGAATGAGTATTTGTTTGATATGCCAAACTGAGGCAATACACTCGATTTGAATTGAAAATCAGCCAATTGAATCGCATACAACGATTTATCACTGGAAAATATCTGATTTCTAATCTTGATTACTGACTGAATTAGACTGAATATTTCACAAATGTTAATTCATTGACAGTAATCGGAAGTAAAGTGTGATTTTTAGTTTCACGCTTATATGACTGATGGTTGCCTCCAACTATGAGATAAAAGATAGTCAGTCAATAAAAACATGAAAATCATTATGTAACTAATGAAGTTAAGGTTTTATCTATCATTTTTGCTTACATGTTGAGTTTATTTACAAAAGACTAAGATCTTAGATATTAACAAATGAACATAAGAAAAGTAAATAACCATTTCTTTTAAGAATAGGTTGTTATACAAAAATTTTCTTTTGAAATTACTCAGTAAAACTATATATTGTTAATTGCTATGTACTGAACTACTGTGTCTGTTCTTCAATGTTCTGTAAACTAAACTTCATCTCATAGTTTATAAATCTTTATGTCCACTGAAATCCGTTTCTGAGTAGGCGAATTAAACGACTTAAACATTAAAGCGTCTACTAATGCCTCCATAATAATGAGACAATTCAATCATGTGAAAAGTACTTTGTCTAGATTTCTATTTTTAACTGTCTGAGTGTTGTTAACTGATGTCTCAAGGTCGTGAATCAACTATGATGTAGACAGCTATGTATGTGAACAAGTTACCACCTCAGTGTGTTTGGCTTTCTTTATGAGTCTACACCCAACCAGACTTGGTTTTCTGTCTAT